AAAGGTAGATACCTTCTCCCCAAGAGCAGTCCCCTACATACAGCAAAGGTGAAAATAGGTAAGAGAACATGTTCAATGAAAAATGATTGGATGAAAGGGAAGATGGCCATTCATCAAAATTAATTCTGATGCAGTGAGTTCGGTAGTACTCTTTCGAAAGCATGAACATACCTTTGTCTCTGATGCAAAGCATGCAGTAACGAGGGCAGCAAAAACAGGAACAAATACAAAAAGGAGGATAGCCAACTCCTGCATTAGAAAACAAAAAAGGAGGAAATACAAATAGATATGAGATGCCACAGTAAAAAAATGTCATGAAACCCGCAGGTGACGAGCATCAGCATAGAACATGAGCCAATCAAGAGGCAGACATGGTAGTGGGGGAGGCATTGAAAACAAGCAGAGAGCACATAAGAGGCCTCCTGAGTCCTGAGGCGCCTCAAAAGACAACGAAATAAAGTGGACACCAGGAAGGATGGGAGAGGTTGCAAACGGAGAGCAAACAATAGATTTTGCCAATAACACACACATAAACCACACGCAATGGGTTCCAAGATTCAATTTTTGTCGAACTAAGTGCTGGGGGCGGGGGGGGGTGGGGGGAGGGGGGAGAGGGAGAGGGGAGGGGCGGAGAGAGTGTGCATGCAAACATGCACATAAACACATGTGTGTGTGTGTGTGTGTGTGCATGTGCAGGCTCGCACGGTTAGAAAAGGGACAAAGCTGGTAACCACACGCAACAAACAAAGAGCAACCGAAACAAAAAGAAACAAAAGAATACAACCAGACCTACCCTGTGATTTCCTTCGATCAGCCCGACCGCCACAAACGGACAAAGAAAGCCGCCCAACCTTGCCCATGAGTTTGCCACCCCGAGGCCTGTAGATCTTATCTCGGTCGGGTAAATTTCCGGGGTATATGCCCAGAGCACCGCAAATGACCCCATAATTGCTGCCCGGGCAGCAAAAAGGAAAATCGTGGTGGCAGTGGGCGGCAAGGGCTGAATCAAAGGCAGCAAAAAAAACCCTGCTAAGCAGAGGAGAACCCAGAGGACGGTCTTTCGACCTAAAATCTCGACCCCGATCAGAGCGATGAGAAGACCGGGCAGCTCTGCAGCTGAAGTAACAAAAACGTCTGAATAGGTCTGAGAGGAGATCTCAGGTTGATTTTCAGGTGTGCAGCCAGGTAAGGGAGAGGGGGAAAGAGAGGAGGAAGAGGGAGAATGGGAATACAAGGAAGATGACGAGGTGGAGGAAGAGGTAGGGGAGTGAGTGGCCGAGGAATCGTCTGTGGTGGAGGTGGAGTTATCTTGTTGTTGAGAGAGAGTCAAGGAACGACGAAGAGAGGGAAGAGAGTGTTGATGGTTGGGTGTGCTAGGGCCGAGAAGAGGAGCAGGATGAGGAGGAGGTGGAGGGGGAGGGAGTGCGATCGCTACTGTAGGGATGGGATGGTCCTGTTTAGTGAGCAAGCTTCTGGAGGGAACAGGGGAAGAGCCACGGACAGGCGTTGACTCTTGAGACTCCTCAGAAATAGACTGTTCAGTGAGCAAGCCTCTAGAGGGAACAGGGGAAGAGCCAGCGGAATACGATGCATTTTCTCCCGCTGCTGCTGCTTCTACTGCTCCTCCTCCTGCTACTGTTGCTGTTGCCGCCGCTGCTGCTGCCGCTGATTCTGCATCTAATGCTGCTCCCCCTACTGATTGAGAGGAGTGCGGAGTGGTGGGTTGAAAAGACAGCTGAGTGGTGGGTTGAGAGGAGTGTGGAATGGTGGGCTGAGAGGACAGCTGAGTGGTCAGCAACACGAGCCCATAGTAGGAAAAGGCCGAGGCAAAAAAGAGCAGCCAGACGACCAGAGTAGAGCGAAGGAGGGAGGGGAAAAGGAGGCTAGTGAGCTTGTGGAAAGAGGAGGAGGAAGGGGAGGAGGAAGAGGAGGAGGGATGGGGAGGAGGAGGTAGGTGGGGATGTGAGTGGAAATGTTGGTGGTGGTGATGGTGCTGTGGGTGGGGATGGGGATGAGCATGGGGATGGGAGCGGGGATGCTGCTGCAGCTGCTCCTTGGAATGCGAATCGTGTTGACTACTTTGCTCTCTGTCAGTATTTTCAGCTGATACTGGTTGTGATGGGAGAGGCGGGAAAGAGGAGGAGGAAGAGGAAGGGAAAGACAAAGAACAAGGGGGGCTAGACGTGCGTGTGCTTCGAGGCGCTTTTCTTTGGAGCACCGTGCTTTCAAGTGCTGTGTGTTGGAGTGTTGCCGTTTGGGGTGTCCTTTGAGGCGCCTCAAATGTGTGTTTGAGTGTTGCCCTTTCAGATATTCGGCAGGGAGAGGGTTGAGAGGGCAGGGAAGGGCCGGCATCGAAATTTGAGTTGAAGGAAACGTTGTTCGGAGAGAGAGGGGTGGTGGAGGAGCAACGGGAATGAGATACGGATGAGGAGGAGGAGGAGGAGGAGTAGACAGGGTAGTGAGAGGAGGAGCGGGAGGAACGGTGTTTAGTAGTGGAGGGTGGTGGAGTCGAGGAGGTGGCATGGGCGGGAGAAGGAGAGGAGGGGTGTGGTGAAGCCAGTAGCTTTGGACCAGATGAGGCTGAAACCAGCCGCCCAGGCGGCAGGCGCTTCCCGTTGGTTCGAGCGGCTTTTTCTAGGACTGTATGTGCTGCTGACGTGTTGCCTTTGAGCTGATTGGGAAGGGAAGAGCAAGGATAAGAGAGAGGGTTGGGAGGGAGATCGAGGGAGGGGAGGAATGAGGGGGTGAGAATGGGGGAGGAGTAAGAAGGCAAGGGTATGTGAGTAAAGGGAGGAGAGAACGGGAGGAAGGGGTGGGAAAAAAGTGGAAAGGAGGAAGGAGAAGGAAAAAAAAAGGGAGAGAAAGGATATGAAAAGTGGTGGGCTGCTGACACGCTATTTGAGTGAATGGAGGAAAATGAGCAAGAAAATTTATGTGCATTTCTAAAATTCTTAATTCACACAAATAGGGGAAGAGAAGAGGAGCACAGAACAAAGGCAAAAGGAGAAGAGAAGGCGAGAGGAGAAAGGGAAGGATGGTGTTGGTTTGGGTTGGGTTGGATTGGGTTGGGATGGGTTGGGTTGGGTTGGGTTGGGTCGGGTTGGGTTGGGTTGGGTTGGGTTGGGTTGAGTTGGGTTGGGTTGGGTTGGGTTGGGTTGAGGTGGGTTGGGTTGGGTTGGGTTGGGGTTGAGTTGGGGTAAAACAAAGGCAGGAGCGCAACAGGTGTGGTGGACACACGGTGTAGCTTGCAGACCCACTCACCCACACTCACCACCCACACACTCACTCACTCACTCACCCACCCACCCACCCACCCACCCACCCCATAACACGAACCCACCACCAATATCTTTTACTGACCAGGAGAAACCGAGGCGATTCGGGAAGGAAAGGGTAGAGCAGCAGCAGGAGCGCAAAGGGCGTAGCAGAGAGGAGAACTAGCATCCTGGGGTGGAGGCAAACGGAGAGGGAGGGAGGGAGGGAGGGAGGGAGGGAGGGAGGGAGGGAGGGAGGGAGGGAGGGAAAAACGAGAGAGGGGCAGTGTGGGGAAAGAGGAGAGGAAGGGGGAAGGAGCGAGAGGAGAAATGTGTATTGTGACTCGGGAAGGAAGGTAGAGCAGCAGCAGAAGAGCAAAGGTGCTGAAGAGAGGAGCACTAAAACGCTGGAAGAGAGGCAAGAGGTGGGAGGGGCATGGAGGGGAAGGGATGGGCAGGGAGGGTAAGGGAAGGGGAGAGAAGGCAAGACGAGAGGGAGGGAGGGAGGGAGACAGGACGAGACAGACACAGGGTGGGAAAAAAGGAGAGGAAGGGAGGGAGAGGAGCAAGAGGAGAAAGGTGTATTGTGACTGGGGAAGGAAGGTAGAGCAGCAGCAGAAGAGCAAAGGGCGCAGCAGAGAGGAGCACTAGGGCCCTGGGGTGGAGGCAAGAGGAGAGGAGGGGTAGGGAGGGGTAGGGAGGGGTAGGGATTGGCCGGGAGGGTAAGGGAGGGGGAGAGAGGTGCAGGGAGGGGCAGCGAGGGGGAAAGGAAGGGAAGGGAGTGGCAGAGTGGGGCCAGAAGGAGGAGCCATGGTAGAACAGGAGCCATGGTAGAACAGGAGCCATGGTAGAACAGGAGCCATGGTAGAACAGGAGCCATGGTAGAACAGGAGCCATGGTAGAACAGGAGCCATGGTAGAACAGGAGCCATGGTAGAACAGGAGAAGATCACTACGTTGGGCTAGACAGGGACCTTTCCAGTAACTTTCAAACCAGGCCAAACGGTACTTCCCAGAAATATGAAGCAGGTTTGGTAAATCTCCATACCTCAGTGTAGGCTCGGCATGACTGCCCAAGCAAGCGCCGCCTCTATTAGCGACCCAATCTGGAAAGACAGGCGAGAGGCACGGGAGAGGCAAGAAGCATGGTGCGGGAGAGGCATGGTGAGAGGCAAGAGGTATGGTGAGAGGCAAGAGGCATGGTGAGAGGCAAGAGGCATGGTGAGAGGCAAGAGGCATGGGGGAGGTAAAGCAAGGGGCAGAGGAGAACTATGCACAGTGAGTGAGATGCAGGAAGGTGGTAGGACTGCTTTTGAAAAAATACCTGAAACAAGAAGGTGCGGACATAATGTAATGCGTCGTGGAGATTTCATTATTTTTATTACCTTCGTTATAATCTCAAGGAGTACCTTCATGTTATTCGTTTTCAGGCAATCTCATAAAAGTTCCAGGATTTTGCTTGAAGTAGCACTAAGCATGTCACTTACCGTCCAGAAGAACTCGATAAACACGAGCCAGAAACCCCGACAGTGGGAGGGAAGGAATTCGGAGCAGAGGGAAAAGACCACTGATGCCCCTCCAATGCCACTTACCATGGAACAGCATTAAGCATGTCACTTACCGTCCAGAAGAACTCGATAAACACGAGCCAGAAACCCCGACAGTGGGAGGGAAGGAATTCGGAGCAGAGGGAAAAGACCACTGATGCCCCTCCAATGCCACTTACCACGGAACAGCACTAAGCATGTCACTTACCGTCCAGAAGAACTCGATAAACACGAGCCAGAAACCCCGACAGTGGGAGGGAAGGAATTCGGAGCAGAGGGAAAAGACCACGGATGCCCCCCCGATGCCAAACCCCACGAGGCAGCGCGAGACGAGGAGAGTGAGGAAGGTTGGGGACCATGCACTGTGTGGTGTGGTGTGGGGGAAGGAAGGGAGGGATGGTGAGGGGATGTTCGGCAACCACCCCCCCCCCCGATGCCAAACCCCACAAGGCAGCGAGAGATGAGGAGAGTGAGGACGGTGGGCGACCACGCACTGTGTGGTGGAGGGAAGAGGGAAGAGGAGAGGAGAATACTGAGTGAGAGAGTAGCACAGAAGCCCCTCCGATGCCAAACCCCACAAGGCAGTGAGAGATGAGGAGGGCGAGGAAGGTGGGTGACCACGCACTGTGTGTGTGGTGTGGGGTGTGTGGAGGGAGGATAGTGAGGTTATGGAGGAGAAGAGATGGATAAGAACGATGAGGGGGTGGAGGAGATGGGGTTACAGGGAGGAAAAAGAGGGATGGATGTGGGCTGGGCTGGGAGACAGCCAATGTGAGTGACCTGATGTGAGAAGGTTACAACCTTCTCACAAGGATATAGGATGGGAGACGTCAGGTCGCATTGGCTGTCGCACTCGGACAAGGACAAAGAGGGATGGATCAAGGATATAGCATGGGAGACAACCAATGCGACCTGATGCGAGAATCTTCGGGCCTGACTCGGACCTAAAAGTTATAAACGCAGAGATAATGAACTGAATCAGTATTTGGCCCACCTTTCACCTGAAGAATCACCCGGAAAAAACACCTGAGGAACTACCCGACCTGAAAAATTACCTGAGCAAGCCAGCGAAGAGAGTGAAGAGAGCAGTGGCCATGAACCCCCTCCTCCTTCCGTAGGCATCTGCCACGAGGCCCCAGACATAGGAGCCTCTGATATGGACAGACAGAAGATGAGAGCATGGGAGGAAGAGAGACGAGATGCCGTTGGATTGAGGTGTTTCACTTGAGAGAGCAGAGGCCATGAACCCCCCTCCTTCCATAGGCATCTGCCACGAGGCCCCACACGTAGGAGCCCCTGGCATTGCGGATGCAAGATGAGTGAAAAGGAAGATGAGAGACAAGGAAAGGCAGAGAAACACGAGGCAATTGAGTTGAAGAGAGCAGAGGCCATGAACCCCCTCCTCCTTCCATACGCATCTGCCACGAGGCCCCACACGTAGGAGCCCCTGATATGGACAGACAGAAGATGAGAGCATGGGAGCAAGAGAGACGAGAGGTGGCTGATTGTGAAGAGGGCAGCGGTGTCATGGTGAACCCTCTCCTTCTGCTGTAGGCATCTGCCACGAGGCCCCACACGTAGGAGCCCCTGGCAGGTGAAAGATGGATAAAAGGAGATGGATGGTAAGGGACACACAAGGTGGTTGAATGGATTGAAGAGGGCAGCGGTGTCATGATGAACCCTCTCCTTCTGCTCTAGGCATCTGCCACGAGGCCCCACACGTACAAGCCCCTGTCACATGACGGATGGAGGTGAGATGGAGGGAGGGAGAGGAGATTGAGCTGAAGGGAGCACAGGTTGAGAAGACTCTTTTTGTTCTTTCTGCATGCACCTGTCACGCGCTGCCACATGGTGCGATCCCCTGGTATGGCAGACACATGAAGGATGGAAGGGAGATGGAGGGAGGGAGGGGAAATTGATCTAAAGGGAGCACAGGATGTGTTTCCTGACAGGAGAAAAATATAACATAGAGAATCAAGCAACAGAACACATCACGCTGGAATGACAGTTAGGCTCTTCTCCCCTGCTTGGATGATTGTGCTAATGAAGGGGTCGACAAAAAGGGCACTTACAAAAATACACCCAGGAACACCACACTCGCTATGAGGCTCTCCTCTGCTGCTGAAAGTCCAAACTCACACCGCGCCTGGCAGGGAGAACGGGAGATTGCGTTGGTTGAGACAAGGCAGAGAAAAAACAAGGCAGGGGAAGAAGCAAGGCAGGGGAAACGACAGGAGGCAGGTGGACCAGTAAGTGAATAAAGTGGTACGATGCCTTAAATCAGTTCAGCGAGCCAGAAATTTGAGGCGCCTCAAGAGGCAGTGAAAGGGACAGAAGGCACTGTTCTGGTGGTACGTAACCAGTAAATAAAGTGGTAAGACACAATAATTCAGCTCAGCGAGCAAGGTAAGACCCAACACGTGTCAGTCAGATCAGACCGCATCAAGTTCTTGCCTCCCTGACCATAAAAAGAGCTACCAAGCACTGCAATGCAATGCAATACATGAGACCACACTCACTGGTGGCCGCACAAAGAAGAGCAGAATCATCTGCATGGCGCCAGCGAGCCAGGCAAGGCAAGGCGAATTGATTAATATATAGCTAGTATGTATGACCATGACCTGCACTCACCGCTGGTCCCACGAAGGAGAGCAGAATCATCTCCATGGCATCAGCGAGCCATGCAAGGCCAGTATAGCACACGAGGAAGAGCTGATAAGGGCCGAAACCTGGTGAGAACAGGAGGATAGGATGGAAGCGAAGGGGCAAGGAGAGGAGAGAGTGAGAGAGAGAGAGAGAGAGAGAGAGAGAGGAGAGAGAGAGAGAGAGAGACGAGAGAGAGAGAGAGAGAGAGATTGCCACTCACCATGCCCTCCGCACGAAGACCAACGAGGCCTTGGCGGCGGACGAGCTCGGCTTTAGAGGACCCATCATCCCTCTCAGTGAGGGACAGCTGCACCAGTTGATTGAGGCCCCGTTTCGACCAGTAGGGTTCGGACAGAGGGGGGGGGGCTGAGTAGGTAGGAGACTTGAGGTAGTTCCGGATCTCGGTTTGGATGTTTGTTGTGCTTGTGTGTTCTGCATCTTCCTTTGTACCACCCCTCATAGTAATGCAAGGACCATTCGGATGAGAGAGAGAGAGAGAGAGAGAGAGAGAGGAGAGAGAGAGAGAGAGAGAGAGAGAGAGAGAGAGGGAGAGAGAGAGGGAGAGAGAGAGGAGAGAGAGAGAGATGAGAGAAGAGAGAGAGGAGAGAGAGAGAGAGAGAGAGGAGAGAGAGAGAGAGAAGGCCCCAGCACCGACTGCACCAACGGCGTTGCGACTGCCGCTTTCCGCAACGACCTTCCCTGACCACCGCCTTCCCAACCACCTCATGCGCTGTGAGAAAGGCGGGGGGGAGGAATTGCCACTCACCATGCCCTCCGAGATGAGTGGTGCGAAGATCGCAGCAGAGGCAGGATACACGGTGTACAAGGAATCTACAGTTTACTCTCCGGTAGAAAACCTCAAAGCGGATGTTTGGCATCCGCCATCCCGACACCGGCGAGGTTCACATGTGCGACATCACCGTGACGGACCCGGTCTCCCACCAAGATGAGCTTGCGCGGAAGGCGCCTGGGTGGGCTGCAAGGATGCAAGCCGCCTAGAAAGAGGACAAGTACGCGCGGCGGAACGCTGTGGGTAGGCTTCCACGCCATGGCGTGGAAACGTACGGCTACCCGTCCCCGGGAGTGCACGCCTTCCTCCGCAGCTGCGCCGAGCTCGCGGGCAAGCGGCGGTTCAACGCTGCGCCAAAGTCGAGGGAGGTGGCCAGGCTCCTCACGGAGTACCGTCAGCGCTGGAGTGTGACTCTCCAGCGCGCCCAGGCCAATGCCCTTCGCGACAAGACCCACAAGGCCATTGCCTGCGGATGAGCTTGGCCTGCAAGGCCCGTTTGGCAGCTTGGGGGAGGAGCAGCTGTACCAGCTGCTGGAAGACCCCACAGGCCAGTAGGGCCGTGGGGAGAGGGGGGTAGGGGAGGGATGAGCAGTGGTACCTTGGTGTGTTTGCTTGTTTGTTTGTTTGTTTGTTTGCTTGCTTGTTTGTTTGGTTGTTGACTTGCTTGATTGCCGGTTGATTGCTTAGACTAGCTTAGTACCAATGACTGTACCTTGATGCTATTAATACGAAGGTCCGTTCGAGAGAGAGAGAGAGAGAGAGAGAGAGAGAGAGAGAGAGAGAGAGAGAGAGAGAGAGAGAGAGAGAGAGAGAGAGAGAGAGAGAGTAGGAAGGAGCATCTTCATGGCATCAGCAAGCCATGCGAGGCCAGTGTAGCACACGAGGAAGGAAGAGCTGGTAAGGGCCGAAGCCTGGTGAAGGGAGAGAGGGGAGAGAGTGAAATGAAGGAAAGAGTATCTCCATCCATGGCGTCAGCTAGCCAGGCGAGGCCAGTGTCACACGAGGAAGAGCTGGTAAGGTCCGGATCCTGGTGAGGGGAAGAGGATGGGGGGGTAACTTATAAACTCTCTATGAGTCATGCAAGGCCAGTGTAACACACGAGGAAGAGCTGGTAGGGTCCGAATCCTGGTGGGGGTTAAGGAGGGGAGGAGGGGAAGAGGGAAAGAGGAAGGGAATGAGTGAGAGGGGAGAGGACAGGTGGTGAGACAGAGAGGAAACGCGCGGAAAGGTTACTGGAGCATGGAATGACATCGAGCAAAATCTCAACTTGGGGAGCGATCTTTGGTATTTCAAAAACATTTGGGCGGCGTTTGAGGCGCCTCGAAAAGTATCCTCCATCCCCATCACCTGGGGCGAGATTTCGAACCCTAAAGCAACAGCTGGCACAAATTCAATACAGTTAGGGCACTGAAAAAAAGCTCACCTATGGAATCAAAGGCATCGTCAACCGTCAACACCTCGTCTGCATCTCCGTCCTCCTCAACAGGAGAAAGGACTGCTTGCATATATTTGAGTTTATTACGACTCTTAGCAGAGGCTCACCTATGGAATCAATGGCATCGTCAACTGTCAACACCTCGTCTGCATCTGCATCCTCCTCCCCCTCATCTTCTTCATCATCATTGTGATCATCCACATCAGCCTCGTCAGCAGCACCATCATTGTAACGGTAATACTCCTCCCTACTGCCATTATTTTCGTCGATATCAGCCTCATTTTCAACACCCTTCTCCCTCTCCTCCTGCTGTTGCTTCTCCACTGTCTCCCCCCCTTTCTCAGCATCTACTCCCTCTCCTCCTTCTCTTCTCTCCTCTGTCACACCACCCTCCTGTGCTACTCCTCTCTCGCACATCTCCACCTGGCAATTAACAACAGGAACATACGCATTTTGAGTCGATTAATAACACCACGTGTTGTAAAATGACTCGTAACAAACAACACGAACAGGTCCAAGAAATGGCAGCTACAAGAACAGGGCATTGCCGCATGGACGGGGTTCGGCTCGGTTGAGAATTTAGGGATTGGCTGGAATCAGATAAATGGCTATAATCTGGGGATTAGATAGATAGAGAGACTCGGACCAACGTGAATGGAATCAGAGAAGCTCCGATTGTGAGATTCATTCAAGGATCATTCACACCGAGAGCGGAAACAAATGAGACAGCAAGGTGGAATCTAATCCGAAGGGAGATGGCGTCTCTTAAGAAGGCCTGTCGCAAAATCTGCCTACTCATAGGCTCTGATGCGGACCAGAAGATTTACGGCTGTTGTGGTGTGATGTTGCAGAAAGCCCATGAAATGGCAAGCTCTAGGCGCTCCGGCTATAGAAGAGCTACCAACAGCTACCGAGGGAAAAAATAACGGCTCCAAACGCTAAGAAAGACGAATTAGTCGCAAAGGTTTATTGAGATTCGAGGTTCGAAATGCATCCCTTACAAGGTTCCAAGGCTTAAAATTGATGAACCATGGATTCCAGGGCTTACAATGGATGATCCATGGGTTCCAGTCCACAGCAAAGTGAGAAGCAACGAATTTTGAAGCTAAGCATTTGAGTATAAACAGATCTTGAAGCTACGAATGCGGAGCTGTTAAGAATGGCGGAACATCTAAGAATGGTGAGGCAAAATGGCAAAGCGAATTCAGCGTACCCAGGGACCAGTCGAGGAATCAACAGGCAGCGGCATTCCCCTTGAACTGTTTCGCTTATGCCGAACACCCGACGCTCGCTACAGTCGCTCTTGCTGGAACGCCGGAGACGCGGACAATCGCAGCAGCGCGTCAGTCAGCCACGTGATTTAGGGCGATGCTTCCAACTCTGGATCCATCACTCCTCTAGGGCAAACTCGCATTGCAACCGTTCGTCGCCTTTGTGCCACGCTGGATCCAAATCTATGCACAATACTATACTGTTTCCTGCCGTTGGGATTATCGTCTGTATACAGTGCTGTACTTTTTCTTAGCCTTGGGATAATCGCTTGATAGCCGGAAAGCAGCAGCAAGTCAATTACTGATAGCGACTTCTCGGGGAGGGGAGGGAGGGGGTGAAAGTTTCGGCGGAAATGGTTGGGAAAAGCCGCGGGAGTGGGGCAGTGCGCAGGTACGGGCGGAGAGAGGAACAGGTAAGTGGGGGAGAAGGGGGACAGAACTACCTAGCAGAGAGGTCTGGGAAGCGCCAAGAAGCGGCGTGCGCGTGCGCGTACGCGCAGCAGTGTCTATGTCGCCTGGATTCTTGCGTGGGTCGCACGCGTCGCACGACGAAACTCGGGTCCTAAGAAGCAGAGCTGATCGCGTCGCCAGGAACTCGATTGGTTGTATTGAACACCTGGTCAGCCGCGACGAATCACGAGTCACGAGTCACGACGACGGCTCGAACTGACATAAGTGGTTCATGAACGTGCAGCGTGGTTCGAGATTCTCGAAATCGAAACAGCACGCAAACATCACATGGTCAAATGCGAATTGACATGCTCATATGCTACTCGAGCGAGATTATTCTATGCTAAATGACATGCATGCCTGGAGGAAAAGGACGACACACGGCTCCGTTACCCACCATACCTTGGTTCTGCTGCCTAATTATCAAACTGCTCTGTCCCCCCCGGCCAACCTGGGCTCATAGATTCTTGTCTGCTACTGTCAGAAGGAAATGCTACCGGTATTCCAGTACAGGATGACTCGCAACAACGTAAGTGTGGCTGCCTTTATACAGTTAGCTTGCAATAAAAAGCGACTGTTTAACGTGCTGTGAACGGAAATTAACAGGAAGGCAATGATTTCTGACACTGTTCCTACTTCAAATGCATACAAGCAGTATTTGAAATACCGAACTACAAAACTCATCATAAACCAGATCAATAAAAGTATGTTAATAAACTGCAACCCGGTATAGGTGTTTACATACACCATCAGTGCTTGCCTGTTCTCCCTACAACTAGAGTTGGTCCATCCACAAAATAGTCTTGTTTCCGCACATTCACACCATACTGTAAAGAATGACAACGGATATCACATCAACAGATGGAGAACGATAAAAGACAGACACAGACACAGACACAGACACGGAACACACCACAACACACACACACACACCACACACCACACACACACACACCACACACACACACACACACACACACACACACACACACACACACACACACAAAGCAAGCGGACAGAGCAAACACACGTTTCAGTGGGGGGAGTAAACATGACGGACCAAACACCTACACCACAGGTCCTTACTCCAACCTTGCAATGAAGCTATATGTTGCCATTAAGTATGAACTCACCTCTTTCAATGCAGCAGCGAGGTCCTCTGTAGTGAGTACAAGCATTCTTCTCCTTGGGCCCTTTCGCCTTCATCTCCTTGCCGCTGCCCGCCTGCCGGATCTTGCAGAACCTGAAAGGGAACGGGGGGAGGGGGGGAGAAGGAATGGGGAGGGTGCAGTGGGGCAGGGTTGAGGGGCAGCATCAGCCCCAACACTCGACTTCATCTCCTTCCACTGCCCGCCTGCCGGATCTTGCAGAACCTGAAAGGGAACGGGGGGGAGGGGGGAGAAGGAATGGGGAGGGTGCAGTGGGGGCAGGGTTGAGGGCAGCATCAGCCCCAACACTCGACTTCATCTCCTTGCCACTGCCCGCCTGCCGGATCTTGCAGAACCTGAAAAGGGTAAGGGGGAGGAAGGGGGGAGAACGAGGGGAGGGGGGGGAGAGAAAGGGGGAAAAAGGGGGAAGAGGAGGGGGAGGAAGGGACGGGATGGGAGCGGAGCAAAGAGAGAAAGAGGGGAGGGGGGGGGGTTTGAGGAGGAGTGTGACAGCATTGATATGCCATTCAACTTGCTTGAGAAAGGGAGTGGCACATGCGCACGAACTTACTGTAGCGCACATTAACTTACTCTAAAACATTGTAAATTACTGTCGCGCATCATAAGCTATACTGTAGCGCATTATAAACTTACTGTAATGCATCATGTAAACCTACTGCAGCACACATAAACTTAATGTAGCACATCATAAGCCTACTGTGCGCATCATAAACTTACTGTAGAGCGTCACTGGCTACCTCCCCTATGAACTTGTGAGCCGCAGCTGACACAAGGCGAGTGCTGGTGACATGCGTGCACAGAACGAGGTGGGTGGGTGGGGGGGGGGGGTGGGGGGGGGGGGGGTGCGGAGGGGGGGGGAGAGGAGGGGGAGAGAGGGAGGAAGCGGAGGAGTTTGAGACAGCTTATTGGCCACCTCTCGTATGAGCTTGTGCTCCTCTGAACTTGTATCAGAGGGGGGAAAGGGGTAAGGGGGGAGGGGAGGGAGGAGAAAAGATTAAAACAGCGTCACTGGCCATCTCTCCTATGAGCTTATGAACCGCAGCTGATACAAGGCGAGTGCTGGTACGCATGCATGCACAGAGCCAATATGGGTGAGAGAAACGGAGGAGACGAGAGCAAGAGAAGGGGTAGGAGGAGATGGGAGAGAAGGGATAGAATAAGCATGAGAAAAATCAATAGAAAACAATTTTGAACTTCCTTGACAGCCTTTGATAAACAACGAATTTGTGTTGTTTGTGTGATTCGATACACTTACACGTGGATGGTGTGGGTTTCTGACGCCTGATTTTGCAGATAGTATGCAGTCAGGTCGTCAGGAATCTGAAAGGAGTGGGAACGGGGAAAAGGAGGAAGCGGGAACAGGTCATTACTATCCTGAACGCGCACGTGAACGTTGGGATTTCTGGCGCCAATCTCTGCAAATAGTTTGCAGTCAGTCAGGTCGTTGGAAATCTGAAGGAATGGGAACGGGGGAAAAGGAGGGGAAAACGACTGGAACGGATCATAGCTCTCCCGAACGATTTAAACCGTTGGTAGGTTCTCCAGAAAATGAAGCTTTCTTTTTAGCCGCCTTAAAGCAATAAGGCATAAGAAGACACTTACAACGCATAAACACACTAACCAGCAGGTCGAAGTTCTCTAGATTCCTCAAGGAAAAAGGCATAAGAAGACGCTTACAACGCATCAATGCACTCACCAGAGGATCATAGTTCTCCAGGGAGCGTAAGAGGTCTGTTAGGTCTCCGGAGGGTGTCCGTCCGACGCCATGCTCGTTAGTAGCTCGGTACGGACTTCTTCACGGGGATAATACTAGGTACAGCCAATCCGCTATCACTTATACTAGCCGTAAGGTGGGGAGGTACTGAAGACGAGGAGCCTAGGTCCACAGAGATTATTCCTTTTTTCGCTGCGCGTTTGGAGATTGTGATAATGATGATCGCGGTTCGATCTTCGAGCGGAGATAGGAAGAATTACGCGGCGTGAAACCAAACGCAATGAGAAAACTTTCCACAAAACTGACGTTCGGACGTGTGTAAGAGCGAGGCGAAGCGCGCTGCGAAAGACCTGTTGAAACACGTGTGAGACCTCTACAGACAGGCCCTCGAGTATCGTCAAAACGCGGTCTCGGGGGCTATGCAGTGTGTAGTAGCGAGGCGAAGCGCGCTGCTAGAGACCTGTTTAAAACGCTTCTGAAAACTCTAGACTGACCTTTGAAAATCGTCAAAACGCGGTTCCGGTCTGGTCTATGCAGCAGCAGAAGCACATGCTTTGATCATTCTGCTGCTCAACGCAACTGAAAGTTGTGTGCTGTGCAGCAAGCAAGGCAAGTTCATATCCATGGTGGAGGGTAGCACTCCCTTCCACCGAACCAAACCATCTTGAGATGCTTTGAATGCAACTGTGAATGCGGTTCATAGGGTTCTTAGTGTTACAGAAGGTTATTCGAGTGGATTAGAACGTCTGGATAGGGTCTTGAGATCCGTGAGAAGTGGTAACGAAAACGGAATTTTGCTCTGCTTGGTTGCGTTTGCTCGCATCCTCGTTTGAAGCGAGAGGGAGCCTCAGGGCGTGTCCAGCGCGTTCATTTCGGGATTTTTAGAGCCCACACACGTCTCAGGGCTCAAGACTGACCACTGTACCTCAAAACGAATGACAACTGAGCCGAGTCCACAGTTTCTGGAATTTCCAGCGCGCGGACACATTTCCACCCACACAAAGATCAACACTGCGAAAACAGCCTGGAAACCGAGGTAGCCGGCTCCCTCGTGAACAGTAGGGTGGCTTTTTCGCACATGCGCAATGTGTGCTGCCAGCGCGCAGGTGGTTTCGGCGAGAGTCGCGCGGCACTGGCAAATTATTGCGAGCAATACAGGGGGGCACTTGCTGTAGCTTGTTGGACGCGATACTGTACCCGAGTTCGCGCGCACGCTGTATGCAGTACCGTGAGTCACACAACTCGAGGTACGTGAAGCTGGCGTGTCGTCTCATGTACAATTGTTGGTCATGTCCACCCTTTCAGTAAAATGCAGTGCTACAACTCCAAATGTGGTAACTGATAGGACTTATGAACGGTAAATGAACGCGCTGGACACCCCTCAAACCTGGGATTGCAGAGGACGGGTTTAGGGCGTGTCCAGCTCGTTCATTTCGGGAAATCTTGTGTCCCTCACGATCCGGGGTTCAAAACTGAAAACTGTACCTATAAACGAACGCGACTTGCTCGAGTCCACCCTTTCTGTCATTCTGGCGCGCGGACACCATCCCCCCAAACAGACTTCAACAGTGCAGGGGCCGTGTGGCAACCAAGGTAACCAGATCCCTCGTCAACCAAAGCGTAAGAATTTTCGCCAGGCCAACACTTCCACTATAGGTTTTGGCGAGTGTCAGGCGACACATGCGAAATCAAGCGCGCGATACGATGGGCACTCACTGTAGTGGGCAGGACGCGGTTCTGTACCATTGTTCGATGCGCACGCTGATTCCTTTAACGTGCGTCACACGATTCGAGGTAAGTACAGGGGGTGTGCCGTATCGTGAACGGGAGCTGATCGTGTCTGGCTTTTTGTAAAACTCAGTGTTACAACGCAATATGTGGTAACCGAAGGGCTTTAAGAACAGTAAATGAACGAGCTGGAAACCCCCTTAGGGTTCTGAAACACGTGAAAGCGTTCACAACCCTACCAAATTGAGCCTTCCTGAAACTCCCTACATAGAAGTTATTTGACAACGAGCAGTCGGGCTTACCGACACGAATCTCGCTTGCAAGAGAAGATAAATTAGCAGTGGGTCGTTCCAATCCTGAATGCAGCAGTGACGGCTGCTGCTTCCCAGTGCGTCAGCCGTTACAGAAGTGCCTAATCTTCACGTGCGTTTACAATTCGTCAATTCTCGCCTGAATCCATTATGGCGGCGGCTCGATGGAGACTTGACGGCCAGACGGCTCTTGTAACGGGCGCGACCAAAGGCATCGGGTAACCACACGACACGATGATATCTAGGCTCTCGTTTCATTCTTTCTGTCATCTTGACACCCTCGTGACGGAATCCGTCCATTTCGCACTCTCATGACGGAATCCGTCCGATCAATTCACTCCCTCGTGAAGAAGAATTTCGCCCGCTTCACACCCTCGTGACGGAATCCGTCCCTTCCACTGGATCCTTTGGGTTTGATTCTGGCTTAAAAGCGTACCTGTTCATTCTTGCCACCGTCCCATTCATCTCCTTCCACCTTCCCCCCTCTCCCTTCCCCCATCCTTTCTCCACCCTCTCCCTCCCCCCCCCCCCCCCCCCCCCCTTCCC